CGCCTGAAATGTTTCGAAGTGGCAACCGCGTTATCGGATAGTTTGAAATGCTTTTATTTGGATGACGTTGTAATGATGTCTTTTAATGATGGTTTGATTACTGTTAATCGCCACAAGCTGGGGTTATACGTGCATTTTTGCTTGGTTTTGTTTCGTTTGGGGCCTCCCAGTCCTTGTTGATCCCTGGCGACTGCCTGGACCGGACCGGACCGGGCCCTGCAGTTTTCTTGGCAAGGTTTTTCAGAAGTGGTCGGCCCTGGCCGCCTCCTTCCTAGGGCTGAGAGGGAGTGACTGGCCCACGGCCACCCAGCCCACTTCGTGCCTAAGGTGGGATTAGAACTCAGGGTCTCCCAATTTCTAGGTGCCTTAAACCCTACATCAAACTGGCTCTCTGTACGTGCAATAAATGCAGCAAATTCTTTTGGAAATGCTGTAATTCAGATTGCTGCTTTAGTTTGGGGAAGGGATCTACTTAGGATCCCGCATGGAGCTGGGAGTTGGATTTGATGGTCTCTGGGATTCTTCCAGCTCTAGAATTCCAGACATATTTATATGTCTGTGACATATTTCATGCAAATGTTTGCATTTTGCTTTCTTGTAAGTTAGTCACCTTGAGGGAGTTATACAAGCAGAAAAGTGGGGAATGACTTGAATTGCACGCACAGAGACACACACAGCCTGCAAACGCTGAAAAGCTTCTGCTGATAGAAATTTGGGTTTGTTATTTTAGCTGCCTGCCCATCTCAACTAGCTGTGTGCAGAAGTCAGCATCCCCAAAGTCCCTTCATTTTGGAAAACTAAAGTTGGCCCCTAGTTCTGAAATCCTCTGGGAACTGGGGTGGGCTTGCCAGAAGCCTATGTCCAGCTTGGACTGGTGGGCTGTTGTGCTTCCAAATAAAGCCAGGTTGGCTCAGCCTTCAGGTTGTTCTTGCTTTGAACCCTTTCCTGCCGCTGGATGGTTTTGTCTGTTCCCTTGGGACAGACGTGGAGACAAACGTCTTTCTTACCCAACTGCTCAAATGCCAGCTGCTGTCTGTCCATGCTTGGGGGGAACTTCGTGTTGCGACAGGCATGGCCATGATTGCAGTCAGAGCTTTCCAGGCTGCGAATTAACAGACAAAGGGGCAATTGTTCGCTAGTTAGAGTTTCCATCTTAGCATCTGAATGGCAGATTTTGCTCTAGTGCTAACCCAGCCTTGGCAAGGTGGTATCCTTTAGATGGGTTGGACCTCCACTCTCTTGATCCCTAACAAATTGTCACACACCTCTCCTTAATTTCAGAGGCTTAAACTGGTCTCTACTGTGCAGCTGAGTTGCTTGTGTGTTTTGATTAACATTGTATTCTTTTTATTGCTTTATTTTTTTTAATTAGTTGGGTATTTCTTGGTAGCTGACTTGAGCCCCCTTTCTGCTAGAAACAGCGTTGTACGAATTAAATAGATTAAAGTCTGGATCTGCTCCATTTTTTTCAGACCTGCATGCTTTCTGTCTCCTGGTCTGACCAAAACCAGGTTCTCGTTTACAGGACGTTTGAAGAATTTAAGACCCTCCACGTAAGTTTGAGCTGAGCTCAGGGGCAGTCGCACGGTCTCTTCCCCTAGAGCTGCCCGAGCAGCCACAGCCTCATCTCTTGCTCTTCTTTTCAGAAAGGACTGAAGAGAAAATTCCCCATTGAGAGTGGCTTGTTGAAAAAGTCCGACCGGACCCTCCCAAGATTTCGAGGTACACGGGGATGAATGGGTTTTTTTTGGATTTTAGCTTTAATTGGACTTTCTGTTTACCATCCTTGCCGCTCCCATCAACCGTCAGAAAGACTTACAGAGTTATGCAAGCAAAGGCTGGACACCTGCGGCCCCGTAAGGTTCCAGTTCCAATCTCCCGATGATGGAGATGCTACATCAGCAGTTGCTTTCCACAAACTGTGCGCACAAGAGTGCATTCACGTAGACGGCAGTGCATTGTGGCTTTGTGCAGAGGGAAGTAACATGGGGGGCACTTATTTGGCTCCTGATGGCCACAGAATGTGTTGGGGCAGGGTTCCTCAACCGTGGCAACTTGAAGACGTGTGGACTTCAACTCCCAGAATTCCCCAGCCAGC